TACCTTCAATTACCCAAAATAGTGCATCAAAGGGGAACAGTTTTTAAAGCAAGGAACCTGGAATGGGGTAACTGAAGGAATGCACCCAAAATCTGGGATCAGTGGGATTGAAATTTCAAGGATTTCAGAAAAGTTGTATTTACAAACTTGTGAGTACTGTAACACAATTGCGCTCTGCAATCAGCCATGGTCACATGATCATGATTTCCAATGCTGTCCGCCAGATTTCTACAAGCAAAGCGCACAGGAAAAAACAGCAAGTAGTTGAAAGTCATTCCCCTTCCCACTGATGTGTTCAAAGCAGGGGTGTCAAAGTCAATTTCATTGAGGTCCGCATCAGGGTTGTGCTTGACCTCTGGGGTGGGCATGGCCGGGGTGGGTGTGGCCAGCTCGATGTCACTCATGTCAGGGGGGCCTGTGATGGCCGGAGCACCCTCCCAGTGAAAATGGGCTCCCGAGTTCCATTTTTGTCTGCGACAGCTTCCTGCAACCCTCTGCCAGTGAAAACAGAGCTCCCAAGCTCCATTTTCACTGGCAGAGGCATTGTGGGCCAGTCCTTTGTTGTTTCCAGGGTGGCCCCACAGGTCAGATCTAGGTACCCCACAGGCTGGACTTGGCCCCCGGGGCTTGAGTTTGACACCCCTGCTCTAAAGGATAAAGGATGGATCATGGGTCTTCTAAATTATGGAATCATTTAATCATACAAAACCCTCTACGTGTTCAATTTCTAAGTTACTAAAAATTTATAAATGAGGTCCAGCAAACACTCTGAATTTTTCCCCAAAGATGTTTTTTTTTTTTTCAAGAGGCAGCTGGACATTCTGGTTTTTTCTTTGAAGACATTTCGCATCTCATCCAAGAAGCTTCTTCAGCTCTGGTTCTTGGATGAGAAGTGAAACGTCTTCAAAGAAAAACCAGAAAGTCCAGTTGCCTCTTGAAAAAAAAAGCACCTTTGGGGCAGCTGTGACCTGGATGACTGAGAATCTTCATAGACACTCTGAATTTTGTGTTATACATTTTTCAAAATTAAGCATTCCGTCTTGTTTCCCCAGTTCTTTTTATACAACGGTACTTATTTCAAAATATTGAAATCAACTGGGTGGTGGTTCTAACCTTTCCGAGGATAAAGTATCTTGTTTTATTAATCACATTTTACAGTCTGTACGATCTGTTATCTCTCTGCTGAGTGAATAGACTATTGCAAAGATGTGTGATGATGCGTTGCAGTAACTAGCCACCTTTGGCTGATCTCAGAAAACTAAACACTGACAGACCTGGGTTAATACTGAATGGGAGATTCAGAGAAATCTTAGGACTATAAAGTCCTAAGCGACTGGGATCGCACAGTTAAGCGATGTGTTCGTAAAGGATGACATTATGTGATCGCATCACTTAGTGACAGCAATCCCAGCAGCCATCATAACTGCAGAATGCACATGTGGGAAAAGGTGGGAGGCCCAGGTAAGGAACACAGGGGTACGCAGGGCTTAAGGTGTTCTGCAAGCAGGTGCTAGGAAACATGGGAAGGCCAGCAGAAGCTTTGGGAAGGCCACAGGAAGTTCTGCAAGTGGGTGCCCATTGTGGAGTATAGGGACAGAGGCTGCTTTAGAGTACAAGATTCTGGGAGGCTCATATTTTATAGTGGACTCCTTAGGAGAAAATTGGGGAGGGGGAGCAATCTACTGGGGTGACTTGCGAATGGTGATCACATAATGTAGTTCACTGCAATGCTATAATCGTGAGCCAGGCTCCCAAGCGCCTGGATTGTGAAAACATAACCACAGAACACGGCAATGGCTGGAAATTCAAGGACAGTTTGTAAGTCCATTTCAGCACTGCCATAATTTTCAACAGTCACTAAATGAATGGACAAAAACCGAGGACTACTTGTAGTTCCAAATTAGACTTA